ACTACGCTACAGACAAGCTAGACAAATCTCCATTTCTTCTTACTGGATGATGTAAACCTGAGTTTCCAACCTCCCTTGTAGTTAGGTTTGGACTAAAGGAATGTCAGTGAAGGGATGCCTACCACTTCCAGGTCTGGACTTAAAATTCCCTGCCTGATCTTCCAATGTCTCATTCTGTCATTACAGAATGGAAGCAGCCTGAACCCTCATTTGGAGGGAAGCCTCCTAGGAGACCTTCCCCCTCACATCAGACTGTACACATGACAAATATACCTTTTCATTGTTAAGCCTTTGGGATTTTGAGGTTGTTTGCTATAGTAGCTAAGGTTATTTATTCAAATAGAGACATTTATATCAGAAGTAAAGTACTTCCATTAAAAATATATATATATGTATTAGTCAGCATTGAATTAACTGTTGAGAAGTAAGTAGTGGGAAAAATGACATTGGAGTCTGGGAAGAAGGCTGTCCCTGTGACACAGTGGCAAAATATTTAGTACAACTGTTACCTGCAATAAACTGGAGGTTGGAACAAGTCCCTATTCAGCCTGCAGCTTTAAGGGTAATGGTTGAAATGAATCAGAGCATCAGTATGGGCCAGCTATTATAGGCTGTATTTTCCAAAGTATTACAAAAAGAGATGGGCTCAGGAAAGAACTGGCTGGTTTACAAACATAAATGAAAGGGAATAATGGAGTCCAGAACTGTTTGGTTGAAAAGCTGTTTCTAAATCCTAAACAGGAGAAGTTAGGTTGAAAAAATTGTTAGTTGAATCAAGCAACTCAAGGCAAAAATCAGATTAAGGGAGTGTGCCTCCCTTAGCTGACCATCACCTAATTCCGGCTGGTGGTTTACTGATAAGGAAGATTACCTCATCCTCCAGGTTGCAGATAGCCTCGAGATAGCCATCATTAAATTGGAAGAGAGAGGCACTGAGACTGAGAAAGCAAAGTAGCAAAGCTCATTTAAGAACTGTACTTCAGAATGTTGGAAGTGTTTACCTGCTCATGGCAAATGTATTGGAAGCCTATTAAGTTGTTGAGGGAATTGTATTGCCAAAGAAACAGTGAATCCAGACTGAAAAATTCCTTGCTGCTTGAATTTTAAGTAACTCTTGGGCCCTGTAGCAAATGCTATCACTGCACCATCCTTAGTTACCCAGCCTACCCCAGCAAACAGCTGACACATCCCAGGCCTTTATCTCTCTGCTCTGGGGGACTTTGCCTCCAGGCTGCTTGGAATTAGTGCCCCAGGAGTGAGCTTAAATCAAAGAGAGGCAGGAGTTTCTGTACCTCTCATGGAAATTGTGTTCCACATAGTTTCTTAGAGGGTCCTCAGAGGTTTTGAGCTCCAGTTTCTCTACTAAAATCTCCCTTGTGGTAACCTACTCATGAATGCTCCCTTTACTGACTTTCCTTCCTTCTATGTCTTACTTCTCCACAACTCACAGTGTTTTTCCAGATCATCTCTCAGTTAAAGTGCCTGCACCTAAATCCTTGTTCAAGGATCTTATTTTTAGAGAATGCATATTAAGACAAGTCTCAACCTTCCATGAACAGCAGGCAGGGCTTTAAATGCTCTACAGTCTCTAAAGAGGTCATCCTCTGAAACATCTCCATCAGATATCACCAAGGAGGACAATAAGCAAAAACAGGCTGCCCGGAAGATGGACTCAGGGGCCATGGAGAACAACTGACAAAGGAATTTCTCCCAGTGAATCAAAGCCAAATTAAGGAACTGTCCCATCTGTCTAGCAGAACTTTGGAACTGGGAAGGACCATCAACTACTATTTGATTTGTATTCTTCCTCTTTCTAATGGGAGTGTTGATTGCAGTTTTCCTGTCCCTGTTACACCACTGTTCAAGGAATATGCAAATGAGGAACAGATAACTTATCTTTTAGGTTCATTTGTGGCAGCAACTAGATTACTTACATCCAGTCTGGGTGAGAAGACTATGCTTTGCCCAGAGAAATAGGATTTTGCTAGATGTAGTAGTCAGAAGACAGTGTGGGAGAAATACTGAAATAGAGATTTGATGAACAGAAGGGATATTTGTGTAACAGACTGATTAGATGTCCATCAATCCTGTTTCATTCTCCTGAGCACAAAAGAAAAATACATTTTTAACTTCCACTGAAGTGATTTAGGGGTCATGGACTATGGGCAAATGTGCTGTCTGCAACTTCCAGCCCTGGTCATAATGTTTCCTATATCATTGTCCATGCTCTCTCTTCCCTTTCCTTGATGAGAATGTAGGCCATCTGTGGAAGACGGTGGCATAACAAAGGTAGAAGAAACTTTTATCCTGGAGCCACTACTTGGAGATCTGCCCAAGGAAGTTTCCCAAGCTTTCTGGACTGAGATGTAAGCAACAAGTAAACTTTTATTTTGTTAAGCCACTGAAATTTTGGGATTGTCTGTTATAGCAGCTAATATAACTCATGAGGACTCATAGAGACACACATATCAGTGTATTTATTCTCTTGTTCTAAGATATGCTTAGAACTTGCTTTGATGGGAGAGAGGGCAGCTAGATCATGATGAGATCAGTGAACATTTAGCAAGGGAGCAATTGCTTCTGAAAGAAATCACCTGATTTCCATACCATCAGATGAAAATCACTTAATTTAAGCTCTTTGTTGCTGAGATAAATATCCAAACATTAATTCATAGCAAATTTTAATTCTGAGCAATTTTAATCTTTGTAACAAAGGTTTACCTATTTCTCTTATCCCTTTTCCTCAGACATATTTCCTATCCTTCTGCTGTACCCAAGAACAGACATGCTATAGCGATTATATAGGTAATAATATCACAGCCCTGCTGTGTTTCCCCAGCGCGAATGCAATCAGCTACACCAGACTTCCTAAATTTCTTTCCTATAGATTTTTCCTATTACTTTTCTCTATGGCAACAGCCCTAGAAATCTAACCCCCCTTTTATTTAGAAAAACCAATTTGATTAGAATATAAAACCCTGAATAAATTTGGTCTTAAAGACATATTTGATATTATCTTTTCTTTGAATTTCATTTCTAATGACAGTTTCACTCTAAACTCTATAAAACATGGAAATGAAGTTCTAAATGTTAAATACTAACCATGTGTTTGAGATAGTTGGAGGGGAGGTAGGGATCTCAGGGCGTTTGGATCTATACAGCAACAGATGTAAAGATCAAAAAGGGAAAATCAGGAGTACGAATGTAGGGAAAATACTTTGAAGTGTAAGTGTCTTTTACCAGAGGAAACCAATTTTCTCAATTTACTCACATAACACTGGAATGAACAAACCCTCAGCATGCTTGAGCTGATGCTGAAAGGTTGGTAAACACGCTTACTGACGGAAGAGTGTGCTGTTAGTTTTCTCCCTTCTCAGTCTCTTTCACTACATGAGGAGAATACAAAAAACCAAACAAAACAACAAATAAACAAAAACAGAACACACGGTTTGGGAAGATGGCTTCGGACTACTTAGAATTCTGAGTAAAAGGACAAATGGGACATTTTAAATAACTGCATATGTCTCTGTAAGCAATGATCAGTCAGCAACTCTAAATCTTTATACATCTTTATGTCATAAGTACTATTATGGAAGTAGATTTGTAAGACACCATCCTCTTGCTCTGAATAAAAAATTTTAAATTTTTTGTGGTTTAGCATTTATAACTATTGTCCAAAATTTTAGTAATTTTTTATTGCCCTTATTTAATGAGTAATAATTACTATTTGGAGATCTTCAAAGGTTGCATGATTAAGAAACCCTAGGGAGTCTTAGGGCAAGAGTAGCATGTGGTTTTAGAGCCTTTTTTTTAAAAGAGGCTTCAGGATCATCTGTTTCCTTTGGCTTCTCTGGAACGACCGTGGATCACTTTGCCTCTTCCTTTGGTGTGTGTGCTCTGGTGATCTCAGTGAACAACATGTTGGACTCTGTGAATTTGCTTCCATATGGAACAAGTTAGCAGCTATTTAATTTCTAAAAATGTTTATGAAGTCCACAGCCCATTGTTATTTTTAGAGACGCTCGTTCAGATCTTTGCCAGACGGTTATTTCAGGACTCCAGAGATTCTTCATGAAACGCCTCCAGAAAACACACCACCTCAAAACTATATTGAGTTATTGTAAAGATTAAAATTAAAGTATTGATTCTTTGTCTTGTTTACATTAACTCTCTTCTAATAGAATTTGTTTGTAGTTAGCCACATGACAAACAGATATTCTTAAATGTAAAGATTTGCCTACAAGCTTATTTTGTTTTATAATCAATGAGTGAATTATATTCACAATTGACTAAAAAGTGTATATGATAGTTTTAGGAATCATGTAAATCATTAGATAAACTTACCCCAAAAAAGCTGATTTAAATTCTTCTGTTTTTAGCATGTAAAGTGAGCCTTAGAGACAAAATTTCACTTATGCTTGTGTCAGGTTTCTGGTATCATGGTCCTTAGGTGATTTAATTTTTCTTCTTCGCTGATTAGCTCAGAGTTACCCATTTGTTGAAGGAATTGGCACTAGTTAGTATTCAGCCTTCATTACTCCTTCTGAAAGCTCCTTGTGGTTAAATGTTGAACACTCACAAAGGCTGATAGGTATTTAAACGTGAAAATGAATCCTTATAATTAGATTTACTCTTTTTAATCAAGGATGCAAAATACTGTTTCTTGTTCTCAATGAAATTTAGAGGATGAAGTTGAGAAAATGTAAAAGTAAATGCATCTGGTTTCTGCCTATTTGAAAATCTGAATTTCTCTTGAATTGTTCTTATCTGATAATGTTCTTCTCATTACATGATTACTTAGTTGTAGCTGGAAGGGAATATCTGAATTATAAAAATGCTAATCTGGTGGCATGAGAGAAACATTGTGGTGACGCTTATCTCTGGGTGGCAACTTAGGGTAAAACAATCGTGGAAAATGGAAATGCCATGAGAAAGGAAGTGGGAAAGGAAAATGACTCATATAAGGAAGTGTAATTTGGCTTCTCATTAAGTTTGGAGTTCCAGGGACCTTAGTCATTTTTTACACATACTACCTGTTGTGGAAGACATCATAGGCAAAATAGTAAAATGAAAGCTCTTTTTATTTCTTTTTAAAGTTGGTAGAGATTCAATGGAGATTTTTTTCTTATATCATTAATTTTAAAATAAAATGAATTTGTCAGTCTCAGGAACCTCAATCTCTCTACGATGAAAAATAATTTTGTTTTGATTTATGCATTTAATATTTCACACTGGAAATGTAAAACTACAGCAGTTATTTTATAGTGACTGAGATCAGGAAATATGGAGGTAATTCATTATATTTATTATTTTTCTTTATAAAACTATAAATCAATGTTATTGAAAATTAAATGTATGGTCTACTGTAGGGGCACTTCTGAGATATAACAGTACTTTCCAAAAGGCTTTCTAGGATATGACAGAAACTTGAATTATTCATAAAAGTCTTGGATTTTCCTTCAACCGAATCAAATTAATAAAACAATTTCAATCCCAAAAGCTACGAATGCTCTGTGAACAAAAAAAGAGAACAAAAATCATGAATTTATCTTCCATTTCTTTTTGAATTTTGTATACTGGGAATCACCAAGACCAGAAGAGTAGATCTAAAAAAGAAGTCAGAGGACTGAGTGCTCTATCATTGTTACTTTGCTAGTTTAACACACTAGCATGATAATGTTTGTTCTTCCATTGTCATTGTACTTCCAAGAAAGACTGTTCTTGTCATAAAATTATATAGATGCATTCTAGTTTTCAGGATTAATTATCATCCTGCATCCAAAACGTTTTGAAGTCTTTTGTGAAGTGGAATCATAACATGTGATAAGATAAATATAATCAGCTATATAAAATAAATGCAGAAAGGAACAGGGGTACTACGTCACTGGGTATACTAGATAAACACACTATTTAGTTGGCCACTGAACTGAACTGATTTGAAATTTCTGGCATCCACAGCAAGAGGAAAATAAGTTGATTATATAACCTTTCTGGTTTAATCTCAAAGCAAGCATTTTTATTAGTCTGTGGAGAAAAAATTATTTCACGATGTAAACTCAAAGAGAATTTTTTATATCTTTGTACAAGGGACTTTTAATAATAAAGTAAACAATGTCTTTAAGTCCAGCTTCATCTTATAGAAGCATTATTCAAATTGATCATTCTTGAATCTGTCCTCTTTGAAGGCTGAGGATGTAATATTAAACCATAACTCAGTGAAGGCATTCCTATGGGGGCTCTGATAAAGTATAAGTATTTCACTTGTTGAAGATCTGGCTTAATACAGGGATACAGCTGGGAGAATCCAGAAGGGGGAAGTGCTTTCAAATCTCCTCCGGTCTCTCTCAAATTCAGATGCTTTAAGCAGGCCTCTAGTAAGTGCTGGATCACAGTTAATTTCAGGATACAGTTCTCAACCAGAAACCCACAGATAGGAGTGAGGTACAGTTATGCTATTACAAAACCCAACTTGCATTCTCACCTGCTCAGAAAGCACAGCAACTCCGATGCTTGGAGACTATGCCAGTGTTTTCTAAATCTTCCTATTTGCCTAGCTGTTGTAAGCACAGGGCATGATGGATTCAAATCAGCCAGAAAAATGTTTATCGTACCTGTGGAAAGTCCAATTTCTAAGCAGAACTATATTTTGATATCCCTGCCAGGAAGAGAAACCTGCAAGATACATACAACATACCTAAATCTGTGGAATGGTATTATTTGCAAACGTCTTTTTAAATGTTAGAGGATGCCTACCAGATGTTACCAATTTTGATGGACATGAGACCAAGTGACCCCTTTTGATTTTTACAAATTGATGAGTCCAATGCTTAAGGTCTTTGTTTTATTGTCAGAGAAAATTCAACTCTTTGGCCACCGTAAAGAAGGATGTTTGGCACCTTGTTTGCTGTAGTTCATTCATTGAATGGCTCTATCATATCGTGTATTTGAAAAGATAAAAGCAGTGAGGCTGAGTGCAGCACTCTTAGAGACCACTTTAAAATTAGACAAGTGGTCACCATGATGCCCATGTCTACTCATACACTCATGGTCTAATGGTCATATCAAGTTTGGGCTGTTTGTCCCACAGACTGAAGACCGGCAAGATAAGAGGGGGTGAGGTCAAGGTATTGGAAGTTGAATAATGGTGCTGGAAAGCAGTTTGTGGCTTAGAGTTTAAAAAGCATGCCCAACAGATCAAGCAGTTGAAATAAAGAACACAGAAAGTATCCATTTGTAAAAAGCTGGCTCTTCTGAAGGACTCTGATTTCTAATTTTATCAAGATAAGAACGTGGTAAGTAGAGATTAGAAATAGTCTGGGGAACAAGAGTGGAGTCTCTTAAAATCACTAAAGTGATTTATCTAGTACTTTGTCTGTCTTGGGTATCATTATTGTCTTCCATCAACTGTATAAAATGTGGAGACAGGTGAATTTAAGTGGAGATTTATGCTTCTATTAATTCTTCCTCAAAAGTCAAAGTATAAATAACCATTTATCCAAATCTTCATTGTTTTCTCTATGCCTGAATTTGAAGCTTCTCACTGAAATCTTACATGTTTTATAAAATGTATCACATGTTTTTAGCATATATATAAAACATCTTCTATATTTATTATATATATTTACATATGCTGACAAATTTTTGAATATGGAAGTAAGAGCAATGCGTTAGTTTCCTAGGGCTGCCATAACAAATTTCCACAAGTGGGTGTCTTTAAACAATAGAAACTTATTCTTTCCACAGTTTTGAAGGCTACAGTCTGCAATCAAGGTGTTGCCAGGATCATGTTCTCTACAAAGTCTCTTTTTGCCTCTTCTAGTTTTTCGGAGCCACAGATGTTTCTTGACTTGTGGAAGCACAACTTCAACCTCTGCCTTGGTCTTCACATGGTCATCTTCTTTCACTGTGTCTCTCCTTCTCTTTTTATAAGGACACCGGTTATATTAGATTAAGGGCCTACTCTATTCCAGTACAACCTCCTCTTAACTGAATTAATTACATCTGCATCCAGATGAGGTAACATTCTGAAGTAATGTCAGTTAGAACTTCCACAGATCTTGTGGGAGGACATAATTCAACCCAAAACTAGGGAATATTTTGGGTTTTTTTTTTTTTGGTGGGGAGGGGAAAAGTGTCATTCTTTATAGAATCAAGAATATGTAAGGCCATACCTTTGTTTTCCCTGATAGAAAACAGCCAACACAGGGTTTACTTCTCAATTACCTGTGATTTGAAAAGGAAAGGTAGAGATTAGTGGACGAATTGGTGAGATATACCTTCTACCTTGACTTCTTCATTTTGCTGTAAACTCATATTCTCACCCATCCAATTGTGGAGTCAGAATCAGGAATAATGATATTGAAAATCAAAGTACATTTAAGGAAGAAGGAAATAATTTCAGCAGAGCTAGGGTATCAATTTGAAGAGTGAAAATAAAATAAACCTATAATATTAATTGATCATTAGTGATGATATCTCTTAGATAGCCCAGAGGGTGCCATTTATACTATAAAGATACAGAGAATGATTTTGACCAGCTATTTTCATCGAAGTTTCAAACATTTATCTCTATAGGAAGAGCCCATGGGAAAACAATTTTCTGATCTAAATCTCCTTTGTATGGAAGGAGATGTGGTTCACCATTCGTTAGTTTAATGACCTTGGGTAAGTAAGCCCATTAATCTTTGAATTTTTCCTGCTTTTGTAAAAGGGGAATAATAGTAACTTAGTCATTAATTTAATAGGCACTTTACTATAAAAGCTGTTTATATACTATATTGTAATATACACAAATGTTAGAATTTATTTCTGGACAGTGTCTTCATGGAGCCTTCAATAGGCAGTAAAGCATAGCACTTGTGAGCACAGGTACTGAGTAAGACTGATTTGGATAGAATCTCAGCTCCACCATCTACCAAGGTGTGATCTTAATCTCTCTGTGTCTCTGTTTATTATCTGTAAAATGAGGATAGCAGTATTTACTTCCTGAGTTGTTAAGAGGACTATGCATGTTAATAAATGGGAAGCAACTAGAATGGTACCTGGTACACAGCAAACACTCAATAAATGCAAACTGAGGATGATTAACATCAACTCTGGCATTCAGGTCTCCCCAGTGAGTGCTTAGAACATACATTTTTTAGAAGACAACAAAATAGGTTCCAAAAACACAGGATGTTAATAAACTCAACTGAAACCAGCCTTAGCAAAGGGAAATGGCCAAATTTAGTGCTGCCCAAATAATGTCAATGGTTTCTCTCCACCGGCTAACTTTGCCTCTTCTGCTGCCTCCTTTCACATGTCTGGCAGCAGCCAAAGAGCTGCACTGCACTGATTTCAGAGTATTCATCATTTTAAAATAAACCCTATAGAAAATGAGTGAGCTCTACCATGAAGCTTCCACAACAAGTCTAAATTTCACTGATGTAGCAGTTTTGGTCACATCCCATTCTTGAGCCAATCCCCATGGGCAAGGATGGATGATGTGCTGACTGCCCTGGAGTGGTTCAGAGATTGAGATAGAAGGAAGGGGTGGAAGCTGAAATGAAATTTAGGGCTGTTGAAGAAGGGAGGCTGGATGTTAGCGAAGCAAGTGCCAACTACCCGTTGAATGCCAGAGCATCTTGGACAGTTGCCTAAAATACCCTTGACATGATTAATGTGTTAAACTAATGATAAGAAAATTGTATCGTATGGAAGTGTAGATAATATTCTGAACAAGTACTAGGAGATGATATGCCTTGAGTCATTCTAAATACAACTCTCATTAATTTCAGGCATCTAAGCTAGTGATTTCCTTATGTCTGTTTGCATGAGGTAATGATTGAGGATATGACCACCTTTATTCCTTTCATTGCAAAATTTGGATTCAAGCTAGTCATAGAATTGAAAGGCTAATTTAGATGAACCTCTATGAATGCTTCTACTCTAAAAAGCAACTAACGTTTGTTAATTTTTCTTTTCATTTAAATATGATAGATTGAAATGTTTAAAATCAATTTTCAAGTGGTTTAGACATTAAAATTGGCTTTGATCTTTTAGCATGCTTTTATTCTTAAATGTGTGTTAGTTATACTGTTAATATAATAGGAAGCAGATATTTAAATTGAATTAAAAATGGCCTGACAGCTAAAAAGGAATAATTATGATTTAAATAAAACCAAAACTGTAGACATGTATTTTTGTGACTATAATTTTTACAGAAACTCACTTTCATGACTATGGACTTTATAAAGTATAATGTAAAAAAGTGACTACAATTACATTTACATAAAACATCACAAATACAAAGAGAGAGTATATGGTGCCAATTTTTCCACACTATTTTAGAAAATTTGGGTTTTACTATATTACTATTCTCTAGAGGGAAAAAAAATGCTTTAATGTAAAAGTATTAGCTAGCCATAAAAGTGTTACAAAAACTTTAAAATTAGTAATGTAAATGGCTTTCCCAGTTCTTCCCTGCAAAGTAAAAACACTAGCCAACAAATTGGAAGCAAAAAAGTCTTTGAAGAAATCACAGAGCTAGATACTGCATTGACGTATGGGGCACTTCCAGCAAGAATACGTCCCAAAACATCATGAGAACTGTCTATTAACACAACAGTTAACTTTGTATCTCATGGATCTACGTGTTTCACTACATTTTGATAGGTTTATTTATACAAATTATAATCACTTAAGGACACAAAAAGTTACATGGTTTAAGGATTTCAAAGAGGGAGAGATGTCTTTAACTTTTATCAGAAATTTTGTAACTGATTATTTCAAATTGGGGTGTGGGCATTTATAAAAACTCCTTGAGAGAAAGAAAAGTGCTTCTTATATGCTATCCAAGTTGGCTGCTGTGTTGCTTGGAGTTCAAGAATAATAACCAGGAGTATGCCTGCTACAATGCCTTTATTACTAAATCGTTGGCTAACTAACATTCATTGGCAAACTATTCTCTATTGTACTATGACTTGGTGTCTGAGGACAACAGTCTGCTTCAAGACTGACCAGACTGAGGTGGGTGGTGTTTTCCTATCTTTGGCGCAGCTAGCTATCCCAGCAAAACTATAGTATGGGAATCTGTCTGTTCTCTCACAGTGAGGGAAAATTTCCAGCCAATACATTTGATTGTTCTTGTGTAAACAGCCCAAGTATTCAAAGGAACGACTTGACATAATGTTATGTGAAACCAGCTCCTGCCTGTTTCTGCTGGATACACCCAGCTCAGAGAGCTCTTTGTTAAATTACCTAGAGTCTGGGAGACAGGGCACTTTCAGCATGGCCATAAGAGTCATTAAAATACTGAATTACTTCTGTACCAGTTGGTGAATAGCCAAGGTCTTGAGTAGCCTTCCTCACCAACATCCCCTGGCCATCTTCACCTAGACCCTGGGCCCCTTCACCTCTCCATGATACAGCAACTCAAGGTGTAATTCCTGGCAGAGCAGAGGCCCTCTGTTCCACTGCTACAAGCAGCATCTGCTCTAATTGGCCAGTGCCTATGTGCTTCTGGCTGTTGAATCTATTGAATCCCACCCTGAAAAGAGCTAGTGAAGTATTAGTTGAAGAACAGAAATCAAAAACCTCAGGACAATGATCAAAACAGAGCAAAGGGACTGCAGCAGGAAACCAGGTGGCCTTCAGATCCCCCTGCTTCTTTAAGGACAGTCTTCCTTCCTCATTCTTCCTGCCTCCACTTTTGGAGTC